CTTTACTCACATGAGACCTGTCCATTGATCTCAGTGGGGCTGCTCACAAGAGTAAAGTTACTCTGATGTATGTTTGCATGATTGGGACGTAATCTCCACCTCCCAGTAGGCCTAATCCAGCATACATTCAATGGACATTGGATCCAATGAAAGTAATTAATTTTTTTGTAATGCAGTTGTATTTTTATAAAAGATGAATTAGGACACCCACCTTCTCTACCCACTGCCTTTTCCTTCTTAAGAAGTCTCTGACCACCTCATCATTGCTTTTATTATTATTTAAGTTTATTTAAATTGTACTTGGCAGAATTCCACACTTTTATGTGCTGACAGTCATCTGCAAAGTGCTGAGCTCCCACAGCTCCCATTGACTAACACTAGAATTGGGGGTGCTCTGCACTTTGAAATGTTAAGTCCAAAATGAGGACTACTTAATAAAAGCAAGATATATAATGCTCTAGAAAGAGATATTGGGATTATTTTAGAATTAATAGATTAAAGGTAGGAAAGAATAGCTATATATGGAAAGGTTATGTAGTAAACTATGGAGTGGAAGAATTCACTGTTCATTTGGAATTCATTTATGAGATACCAGAATACTGGGGTAAAATAATCACAGGATTACATTCACAGAAGCTGAAAGAATGTGATGCAGTGAATCACTGAATGAAGTTCTTTATCTAATCGATATACCAAAATGTACTTACAGCATAAAAAATTTGTATTACTATAATATATATGTTCATTTTAATAGTTCTTGCAATATGAAGCAATGAGGAGAGAAAATACTGTATTTAATAAAGAATTCCATGAGCTAGATTGAGCATGAAGGTATAATCTGGACATTCTTGTGCCCACTCCTGGTAAATCAGAAAGTGCAAACCTTTACTGAATATTACTCAATATATGTGTATTCTTTCTTGGAAAAACATGCCAACAAACTAGTGTTAAAAGGTCAGACTGAAAGGAGGTTAACATAAAGAATTTATTTTGGGATTTAAAAATGTGCTAGTGTTTCTAACTTGCAACCAATTTATGTATTATCTCTAGCCGCTGAAATATCTCATTTCTTTGCCAAATCTTCAGTTCCATTAAATGAAGCTTTGTAAATTTCATTCTTTATTTTGAAACAAATAGAACTAGATGTAAAATTCTAAGGGTATAATCCTGCAGCGAATTGTACATGAATAATTGACTTTACACATGTGAGTTAGGTCCATTGAATGGAATTTGCAAGCATGCATAAAGTTACTTGTATACATTTAGTGTTTTAAAATCAAGCGCTTAATTTGGTTTCAGAAATATACTTAATATTCAGCAGAGGCTCTTTGACGTACACACACTTCTCTAGTAAAAATGGAATTGGTGTTTTTTTATTTAGTCCATATAATCATGCTTTCTACTTTTTATACATCTTTAGTCTATCCCAGCTTGCATTTTTTTCCATCAGAGTATATCCTCAGTAGTATTGGGATCTAATTTTAAGACTGTTATCGAAAAATCTATTTGTGTATAAACTTTGGTTTAGATAGTTATACTTCAGTACTATATTTATGGGAGGACTATGAACAGGAGTTTCTTGAGCTTGGTACTGTAGAAATCTCTAGGGATAAGCATAATAGAATAACATACATTTTGAAAATCAATGATGTGTTTATTGTTGTTGGCCAAAGCAAATGACATTTTAGTATATTTTTAATACACAGTACATTCTTAGTAGTGCTAAATGTGCTTCGTATTAACAAATCTGATCTTAATGATAAATCAATTGTCTTGGTAATGTTTTGTTAGTTACTGTACCTTTTATATCTTTGAATAATGCTTTACCATTCTGTACTGTGGGGTCTTTTTTTACCGGACAGCTTTAGACATTTTATATTTTACATACAATTAGTGAAACAAATGAAAACACTATTAAAATAGTAACTGATATAAAATTCAGTAAATGGTATAAACTGAATTTAAAAATTACAGGTTTCAGAGTAACAGCCATGTTAGTCTGTATTCGCAAAAAGAAAAGGAGTACTTGTGGCACCTTAGAGACTAACCAATTTATTTGAGCATAAGCTTTCGTGAGCTACAGCTCACTTCATCGGATGCATACGCATACGCATCCGATGAAGTGAGCTGTAGCTCACGAAAGCTTATGCTCAAATAAATTGGTTAGTCTCTAAGGTGCCACAAGTACTCCTTTTCTTTTTGCAAATACAGACTAACACGGCTGCTACTCTGAAACCAATCTAAGAAGATAAGTGATATGTAAAAGGGATGGGAGGAGGGATATATACATGCACCAAAATAATTCTAGAGAAGGTGAGACAGTAACCTGTCAATACATCTGAAGGCTACAAAATCTTCCTAAATGTTGTGGCACTGATGGGCCATGTTAGCACTCCTCCCTCAGAACCTGCCCTGCTCCAGCCTTCCCTGACTTCTGGTAATCCAGTTCCAACACTCAGCTCTGATTCCTGACTGCAACACTGCCTCAACCCTTGGCTCTGGCATTTGGACACTGACTCTGATTCTGACCTTTGATCCTAGTTCTGGTCCTGTCTCAACCCTTGGCTCTGGAAATTGGAATCTAGCCACTAGGCCTGACTGCCTACTACCCAGTCTCCTGACAAATATGCAGAAGAAATAACAGACTCCAATACACACTTACTTGTGTTGACTTGGTACTACTAACAGAGAGGGAGGAGATTTTTGAATAAGAAGGCTATCATCTTTATACAGCTGCTTTTTGGAGCAGAACTTCTAGTGTCAGTGAGACTACTTCTGATGGTTGCAGGACTGGACTCAGGATGAATGAAGGGATGCTCATTTAAATAATTAGAAGGTTTTTTTCTGCTACTTAATTGAAGCTGAGTACAAATTAAAGAGGGCATGAAGAGTACTCATTTGTAAACTAATACCTATTTCCAAATGAGATGTTTGGTAGTCTCATTTAATGTTAAGAAAAATACGCAAATTTGACTCCCTCTAAAATTGTTCTTTTTGTCAAGATTGAAGAGACTTTTAGCTTCAGAACCTCTTCCCACAGCAGATAAACTACAAGGCCAACAATAAGTATATACTTGTAAAGTCTGATGGATGTCCTGAGATACCATTCCAAACCTAGGAAGCAAGTTCTGTGTGGAAAATCTGGGAAGCTCCCAATTCTAGCTCTGCTGGTCATAGACCTATCAAACCTTGAATTAGTCACTGTTTCTGAGTCTGAACATTGTCCATCTTACATCTCAGATTGGTGGCTTTTAAGGTGTGGCGTGCAAAAACTGAATTCACATTCAGAGTGGCACTTTGAGGGTTTTTTTGTTTTTAAATGAGGGGTGGTTTGAAGCTGCTCACTGGTTAGGAGTGTTAGAATAAATTCCAAAGTGGGTTGATGAGTGGACAGAGGGCGAATGAGACCATCATAGGTGCATGATAAATTTATCTGGCAAATGTGTTTTGACTTTATCACGCTGATATTTCCTTAACATGCAACTGATGTGAAGGGGTTTAAAGGAAAACCTAAAAAACTTTGTTCTTGCAATTAAACGATAAATGGGAAAGAACAGCGATGCTACATCAGATATAAATGAAGAGGTAATAGAATCTGATCTAGATTTTAAAAGAAATTAAACCCCAAGTACCAAATATGGCTAATTCCATCATATCAAGCTTAAGGAAATTCTAGAAACGAGTCTAACATGGAAGAGTTCTTATGATTTAAAACTTGCCTATAAACTCTGAAAAACCTTGTTTCAGGAATTTTTGAGTAAGTATGGAGGAAGGATGATGATTCAGCATCATATAGTACATATAGATAAGAGCTGTTTTAAAATTAGTATAGTATTTGACCATCATCCAAGGTTACCTGTTCAAAATAGGTAAAATATGAACCTGTCATCTCCTCTTCAGAAAGAATCTGGCAGCACCCATCGTTCACCAACGTAAGATTATGCAAAGACTTGTAAAGCATGCTAGCCAATAAAGAATTACTGTAATCACGTCTTAAGGTATTCAAAGCTGGGAGTTCTGATGGAGGCAGAAATGAATGCAACCTAATAATATTCCATAAATGGGAGAAAGATGTTCTAGCCACATAAATTAGAGGTTTTTGGAAAAGGGAGTAGGATTAGAATGAACTGCAAGGTTCTTTGCTGCTGAAGTAGGAGCAATCTGAGTGTCTGAGTCTTCAGTAAGAGAAGCCAGACTCTTAGAGGTACTTACTTATTCTCATCGGGATGTGCACTTCTATCACTTGTTTAAAAGTGTTAAAAGAAAATATGGTAGAAAAAGTCAATGAAGTGTAAGAAAAAAGTTAGACTGGCTGAGTTTTAAATTAGGAAAAAATAAAATACCCTTCAGGATCTGATTCTGCGACCCTTGCAAGTTTGTTCTATTAGGCTATAAATCAGTTGGACTACTTTAGTGAATGTTTGCACATTTTGACGCATTGATTTCAGTGGGACTCTTCACCAGATAAGTACAACTCAACATGAGAAAGGATGACAGAATCAGGCATGCAAACAGGGATTTAAAATAATAATTGTTCAAAAAAAGCTAACAAGCTTCTCTGTGCCCTTTATATTAATATTTGAAAACTACTTTAGCTCTGTAGTTTTCTGTTTTAGTGGCTCTTATTTGCTTATTTTAGCAAAGTTGTTGGAGTAAAATAAAGAGAATTTGAGAAGAGGCTAGAAACAGCTGAGTGAAAATAACTATTAATTGTGGATTTATTTGTATCTTTTTGTTCTATTTCTACAGCACCTAGTACAGTAGGGGTCTTGGTCCATGATTATGGTCCTAGATGCAATGATAATACAAACAGTAAATAATAATAGAAATCAATCCAATGCAGCACTTCAGAATTGTGACTGTGATTACATTGCAGGTGGGAATTCTGATATACAACGTGTACACATTTGAATCAATCTGCAAGACTTTAAAAGAGACTTTGTAGAAATTATCTAAACTGTTTTTATCAGTGCATTATTTGACTTTACTCATTCATACAGGCTGCCTTAGAGAGAGAATGGCTAGCTTTGGATTCCACCCGCTTCCCTTCAAAAACACTGCTGCTCACAAACCAGCTGCACTGGCCAAAGGTAACATGTCATGGAAACTTCTTAGTCTTCAGTCTTTGTTCATTCCTTGAGGATATGCTACACCGGGGTGATTAATACTTCAATTTATTGACTTGAAAAACACAATTACTTTTAGAAGCCTCTGACTTCCTCCTCATCCCCAGATGTAATTTTTCATGTAGCTTTTCTTTCATTTGCTTAAATTTTTCTTTATTTTGGATTTCTTTCAACACTTTACTTCACAGTAGCTCAAAAAAAAAAAAGATGATGTGCTTCATCTGCACATTTGGCAATGGATTAAAAATTGCTCGTTGACACAGTACTTTAAAAATACTAAAGTCTGCATTATATAGCAACAGCTGAGGACTTTCAGAACAGCTAAAGGTCATTGAACTGTAATGTCTGTGAGTTATTTGATAAACTTTGAAGTTTCAGCTTTCTGGGTTGTTTTTGTTTTTGTTTTAGGTTTTTTTCCATTTTTCTTCTGCTATATGCAAAGTATTCTTTAAAATATTTTTGCCTGGATTCAAATAATGGCTATTCATAAATGTATAGTGAGTTAAACTTTTTTTTGCTTTTGAGATATAATTAAACACACCATCTTTTTTGCAATATTCCATAGAGCATTTAGTTAATTGAAGAGAAGGTCTATGATGGACCTATCATGTTTTGACTATACCTCTGAAATACAAACAAAGGGCATGACTCTGCAAACACACTCATGTTTAAGTACATATGTGAGTAGCCTCATTAAAATCAGCAAGGCTACTCCTGTGCATAAAGTCAAGCCCATGAGTAAGCGTTTGTAGGATCAGGGCCAAAGTTATGATACTATTCACTGACTGTTTTTAATATATATATATTCCCTTACTTACAAGTATGCTAGGCCTCAACGTTCCGATCATAATTCATTTAATTTACCATGGCCTCCCCATGAAGCCTGGCAGTGTGATGAGAGACCACATTCATTGTCATCAGAAAACACCCAACTTAGGAGCAGGTAAGCCAAAATGATTTGCTTTTTTTATTACTACTTGTACCTGCTCTGGCAGGGACCAGAATAGACACTGGAAGAGTAATTAGTACTCCTCTTTGTGGTGCTTTTTGCTACTGTTTGATTGGTAACTCAGATAATTACTGATTTGTAAGTAAATGCGCTCATTAAAACTGAATAAAACAAATACAGTCTATTAGGTCTGCAGTCGTTTAATGTGCATTTAATTAAAATATCAACGTTCTAAGAATAAAAGGCTATAAATATGTAAATAATAAAATGTTAACAAAAAAAATCTTATAACGTAGGCCTTAACATACAGATATCTAACAGATAAGAATTTAAAAGTATTTCTCACAAGGCTGTATTCCTTTGCAGAAAAGGACTGAAATATACTTCATTGTAACTGAAATGTAAACATTCAAAATCAAGGGCAAACTTTTATTACTCCCAAAGATAAAGCCTTCTTGGAGTATTAAAATAGATGTTTTTATTTTTGAGTTTCAGAAGGCATAAATAGTTCGCAGAATAATAAAGGCTGCAAAGCCATCACACTATACTTTTACTCCTGACCCAGGTTTCAGTATTGCTCTGCTACTCTTTTGTCAGGTCAGACAAGAGAGCTATGGCAGGTCTCTCTGACTTGCAACCCAGAAATAAGTTGTCTTTCAAATCGGAAAAAGAAGAGAAAATTTCAGAAGAATGGTATGTCCAAATCTATCCTATTGTTTCGTTTGTTTGTTTGTTTTTAATGTGAATTCTACACATCAGGAGCTGTAGATGTAGAGGCTTTTAATAGGTACCCTGGTTAAGTAGGTATTTATTTCTAAATGTCAAAAATATTGTTTTAAACTTTTAACCGGCGTGTGAGATACCAAGTCAATTAACTACAATGTCTTAACTGTTTAAGATGAGCACTGCAAGCATCTGTGTAGTTCAGTATGTCGAGTATCATACATGAGATGTCCTGTGCTCTTGCTGTATTCTATGTGAAAGGTGTGGGGGAGGGGGAGAGAGAGAGCACTGTGCAGTTGATATGTGAAAATGTGTATATATTGATAGTAAAATATCACCTTCCCTTAGGGGTTTTAAAGATATTGCCACTGCACAGCTAATGCTGAAGAGGGCCCATAAAATGAAATCCAAGAAATCTAGTCATAAAAATCTAGGTAAGTCAACAGTTCTATTACAATATATGTTACATAAGAATATGTAGAAAATGTAGAAAACAGCAGGTCTCTACTTCTTCATCTGAAAGCAGATTGTCACTTCTAGAAATTTTGCTTGTATTTTCTTAGATTGGCTCACATGTTAATATGAGGGGGGAGTAATGTGCTTCAGAAATGAACATATTAAATCATCATAAAAGGAAGTTTATTTTGTTTATATGTTAAATATATTAATATTTGAAAAAGTACTCTGGTGAATATTGAGAGGAATATTTGACAAGTGTATGACATGGGAACTTTGTTTCATTGTGTTCTGTGTATTCCCTTTTCTAGATATAAAGTTTATATTTCTGTATTTTTGTGCTGCTTAGATTTTTTTTTCCTTCAGAAGAATATTTCAAAGGAAAAAAATGCTTGCTCAGTTCTCCTGCTCTTGATTATATTAGGTGCTATTTATATACATTTGTGAAGGTTTCACGGTTTTTGGTGTCTCTAGAATTGATCATAATTTGGCATTCAAGCTTCAGAGATGATTCTGTGAATCTTGGAAGGTACTTTCCTCTCTTTGCTGACTGATGCTAAAATTATTCCTTCCCTGCATGGTCACTTCTTGTGTCCATCATAAGGATAAAATATCTTAGTTAATTATTGGTTGACACCTTTAAGTTCATTAGTCATGGTAGGCTGTCTTGAGAAATCCTTCCATTAATAATGTTTAACTCTTTGGTGATATGTTTGGAGCTCTCACTACTGGCTATAATGCATTTTCCATTACTGCATAACATGGGAAATCCCTGTTTTGTGTCAAGCGGTGGTTGTTTTTTTTTTTTTTTTTAAATTCAAGAGTATTTGCACTCAAGAGGGGAAACACAACTTACAGATAAAAAGGTAAAGTTAAGAAAAATTTGCAAGTCCCTCCTCCCCCAGCCAAGTACCAGCACCTAAGACTACTTATGACAGATAGATCTCTAGATTTCAACAAAAGGTACCATATAATTAACCTTTTCATTATGGATGTTTTTATATGCATTTTGTTCAGATGATTGGAGGGGGTTTTGTTTTGTTTGTTTATAGAAAGTGCTGCTCTGGAAAAGTCTTCTAAGCACATGACCAGTGTTTAAAAAGTTTAAAAAACTTTATAATTTGAGTTGTTAGATCTGTATAGACCTGATCTGTTGTTTAGTTGCAAGATATCTCCTTTCATGACTACCCAGTAAGAAATCCCCTTTCCACATATTCCATCCAGGCAAAGGAGAGCATTGATTTTCAGAGTGAGTGTCCCGTCACAGAAAATGCCCCACCTTCAATCCCCTTTCAGTATTGGGGCTGTTAGGTCAAGTACCTCCCTTCATCCTAATTGCTCTGGTACAGCATGGTGAAAGAGGCAGACTCTAAAGTAGTCAGATCTAAATGGAGCTTAACTTAAAACCAACATTTTCAGTTACACCCTGATCTGAATTGGACACTAGTGCAGATACTGAAGCACAGCTGTCAATCCCTCCTTGCCAGAAGCAGCACTAAGTGCATAATCAAGCAACTACATTCAGAACTTTCTGGTCTGGCTTCTGTAGTCTGCCAAAGTTCCTTTGTGCTGCTTATGTGAAGTGGCCTTATACTGGTCAGAAAATCCCAGTGGAAAATTTTCCCTGTGTAGGGGGAATCTCCACAAGCATAGCTGTCTCCTACATCCTTCCCAGCATACGGGATGGGGGTGGGTGGGAAAAGAGAAACAGAAAGGGAATATCAGGGATGGTCTGAGGACGTGGTGGAACTGAGACCTTACACCAGAAGCTTAAGTAAGAGGTGGAGGAGTCCTGTTCTAACTTGTTCCGAGACCAGGCAGCCCTGAATCAGGGAGCTGCAACAAGCTGTGTGTGGCTGCCACTCTCCCCAACTCGGGGATGAGTGGTCTTCAGATGCAGCCACATGTAGAACAAATTGCAGTAACTCATCTTGAGGTAAAAAAACATATTTGGCAATGTCAACATCCTTTTCAAGAATGAGATTGGTCACAATCCCTTAACCAGACATTAAAAAAAAACCAAAAAAACCTTTGGCCTCTTCTGTCAGTTTAACCTCTCATGCAGCTGGATATCCCCAGAACATGTGCCTCTTACTAACAAAAGGCAGGTAACAACCTCTCTAAACAATAAGCAATTGTCAGCCTCATCATTTCCTCTTGTTTCCCTAGGAATCGGCATCACATCCTTTCTGTATTCTCTGAATTGATCCTCAGCCACCATATAGTCATCCACACCTCAATATTACCCTTACCCTGATTATATCTTGGGTTTTTTTAGGTTTGATCTTTTCTTAAACTCCAGATTGTATGTTATGTTATTTGGCACTATTCCTTCCTAACATAAAAACAATGAGGAATCCTTGTGGTACTTTAGAGACTAACAAATTTATCTGGGCATAGTTTCAACTAATTTCATTCAAAAACTTAATATTATTTTAATATAAGTATTAACTTAGTGATATAGACATTCCCACGAATCTGAGGATAAAGTACAAAGTATGCACACAGCGTTAATTATATTCTATAAAGAAGTAGGTTTTCAGAACCTCTAATATGTCCATTCATTGCTCTATACATTATTTGCAAACAAAAATACAATAAAAATTAAGTTGTCAGCTGAGCCATAGAATGAGCAACCTCCAGTAGCTCAAAATACAAGGAAGTTACAGAATATTAACAAATAGGCATCCTTTTATGCTCAAGTCTCAATGTCAGCCCGCTAACCAAACATCTTTCATGAGAAATATTGCTATGCTAAGGTAAGGACTTGCTAAATTGAAGATGTTGCATTCACACAGTAGTCCCTTATTAACTGCTGTTTCATAGGACCACTCATATGCTCTTGTCACTACAAATATCTTGTGGTCTTGTCACCCGTCACTTGCAAATGTCACCAACTTCCTCTGCCTTAGGGCTTTATTAGCTGATATTCACATACCCACAAAATAGAAAGTTAGCATCTGCCCTGGGTTTTATATAGCCCCTCTTTAAAATGCCTACTCATTTACCACAGTGGAGCTTGGATGGGATTAGCATTGTAATGAACATCCTGGGTTCCTGATGCTCTTTGGTGAGGGGACTTGTTCCCTTCTTCTCTCCATATATCTGCTTCTTATAGAGCTGTGATGAGTAATGTGGTGGGAGTGTTTCCCATCCTGTGAAACCAGGACTGGCTTATGCACTGGCCACTTGGGGTATGTGTACACTGCAGTGTAAACCCAGGCTCAGACTCAGGCTTGAACGCAAACCCTTCTTCTGTCTGCGTAAATCTCTCAGACTCTGGCTTGGACCTAGGGTCCACTCCTAGGACTCTGTGGTGTTCAAGGGTAAGCCCGTGTCAAGCCATGATCCAGGGTTTGAGCCCTATTGCTTTGCATGGTAGTCACAACCCCCCAACTTGGGTCCAGGGAGTCCGAAAGTAGTATACCCCAATCCCATTGGTCAATCACCTTTCTCCTCTGTATACCAAGAATCTCCAGTTGAAAAAAGAAACCACCCCCCTCGGCATACAACAGCAGCTCAGTGAATCAGCGTTAACTCTTCCATTGTCTTGGAATCAGCTTGGCATTCTGCCTCCCTTTCTCTCCAGCCCCCCCTCACACGGCTCAAAATGACGACCAGGAAGTGAAAACAAAAATGAACACCTTTAAAGAGGATTTTTACTGGAAAGACACAGATTTTTTGCTCAGCCCATTCCTGTTTCATAAAAATAATATTACATAGCCGTGCATTTGCCACACTGTAATCACTCAGTGGTCTATGGAGCTGCCTATAAAAATGAACTATGTGTTTAGGGAAATGTGATCCATTTTCAAAACTAGTTCATTTCAGTTAAAGGTAGTCCATGCAGTTCATAGGTGACACAATCATTTATCCCAAGTATGACTGGAGTTTGAAGTTTTGTCCAGAAATGTGCTGTGGGAAGGAAGGAGGAATGCAGCCATAACAGAATAAGCCATGAGTGAGCTAACTCAGCATTCTGTTCATTCAGTCATGGATTCTGACCCAGTCCTGATTGCTAATAGCTGCAAAATTTTCCTGAAGCAGGAATTCCAGATCGTTAGTCACATTGTGTGGAAGCATATATTTTCCAGTATCACTTGGGTAGCTCACCAGCCCACTCCATTCATAGATGTGATGTTCAGTCATGATATGTTTGAATATTTTTGATGCATACGCTGCAAATTGACAACCAGCAGCTTGGAATAACATCTTCCTTTGCCAATGGGGCACCATGAGAACAGTTATGTCCTTCCAAAATATGAAAGGCCTGAAATGATTATAAAAAATAAAAAAAGCTTTTTGTAGAAAGGCCATCGACCATTCCCCCTCCCTTTCTCCAACCCACGTAATTATGCAAGTTTTGTAAAACAAAAACAGCTTTGCATTTTTATTTACCATTGTGTCTGCACTGCTTTAACTGCGGTTACTCAGGCTGTGTCCAGGGAGATTCTGGGGACTGAAGCATCCATTTCACAGTATATTGCAGTTAAGTTTTGAAATGTAACATTTTATGTCCTTGAAATTCCACAAGAATTAATTCTGGGCTCCTGCCACTGAGATATTTGGGATGCTCTATATTGTGTCCTATTGCAGTCCCCCCTACTAGCTGCTGTGTCTCCACAGCTTGATATCCGTACCCTCATGGACCATTCCAAGAGGAAGCATTTCTGTGATGAACTAATGGTTGAAGTTCTTGAGAGGGCCAACAAGCAAGTTCAGTACCAGAAACACAGGGACTTAAGACTGGAGAAAAGGCATTCTGAGAGGCAAGAGGAAAGGCTGAGAACAAGGTATCAGCACAGGAGCGAGAACAGTGGCTAATGGAGGAGGACAGGGCTCATCAGAAAGAACTGTTTGAGCTGTTCATCTTAATTATGGCTGCAAGATTACTGGTTCCTGGTGCCTTTCCCACACTGTAGCTTGATTCCCTTGTGACATACCCTGAGTCCAAAAACAGCTGCAAAAACTCCATGTC